AAAAGTTATCCAATGAATAAAGCTACTTCTGGCATTTCCTTTTTCCGTTATCTGACATAGAAAGTCCTCTTGGATCAGTTCTTCCGTGTTCCTTTTGTTTGAATGCTCTCTATTCTTAAACCCTTGATTGGTCGTGGCAGCTGGCTGTTCACATGGAGCCAGGTTCTGCTGGAGGTTTCTTTAGAGGGGAGTTTTTTTTTCCCACTCTTGCAACACGTAAGCTCATATGAGGGAATGCTGCAATGTTGGCGTCACAACGTATCTGACTTTTGACCATCGCAGCTCATCCATAACCTGTGAATTCTTCAAGTCAGTAACCCAATGCCATTTGCTGGGTTTTCTTTAGATAGAAAAGATCAATTAAATTTGATCAAAAATTAACATTATGTTATTAACAGTACTATTTAACACTCATGAACCCCAAACAGATCACATGCTTGTAATTATTGAATCCATGCTAATATGCATTGTCTTTATTTCTATGAGGTATTTTGGGACAAATGCCAACCAGGCTGAGCTCTGAATTGGAAATCTAAAAATAGGGCTGCTACCACCCACAACAGCTGACATGCTTGCTTCTTTTTAAAAGATGAATATGTGCCTGACCACACACAATGACCCTTCCTGCATGGTTACCTATAAATACAAATGCAGACTCATTAATGCCTCTTTTTTTAACCCAAAATAAAATCTTTTAGGTACACAGAATAAACACCTACTGGCCTTTTTTCTTCTGGGCTGGTTGTACTGAGAACTTTTCTGTTCCCTGTATTTGGCTCTCAAAGGTTACTACAAGATTTTCACAACGGTTGTATTTGACTCATCATTACTTCCAACTCATAAATTCACAGCTATGACAGTATACTTAAGGTAGGAACTTGAAGTCGTGCAAAAGTGCAATCTATTTTTACAGATGAGGTTTCCACTTTGCACTTTGCACCTACAAGCATTTAGTACCTGGATTCCTAATACGTGTAGATGATTTGTTTCCAGCCACTCTTGAATCTTAAAAACATGTGCAGTAGGTTGTTTGTAATGCTTACAGATGAAATGAAACATCCCAAACTGGTAAAGACAAATAGTTACATACTCGACATGCAGACAACTTAGGCTTTGACAATACTAGCTACAATCTGATTAATCATTTAACTTTTTTTTTTTTTCTTATACAGTTAAGTCAAATATCATCAAGCCCACTAGGCAAAGCAAGCAAGAATGTATAGGGCCCAAAGCAGAATTTGCTTAAGGGTCCTGATTCCATTTAAATCTGATTTCTTACCATATATTACCATTATATTAACACTGACTGCTCTTTTGACCAGTTAAGATTTGTTTGTGCATTGTTTATTTAATAAAAATAATTTTATAGACCACAAGTAAGCTGAAAATATATTTTCTGTCGTATTAGAGGGATTAGAGGGAAGTTGCTTATGAGCAACAAAGTACAACTTTGTTGAATTTATTTGCAAACACTTACAATGCATAGATTTAATCAGGTGTCAGAAATTATACAAGATAACAATTAATATACATGACAGCATGAAGGGATGGCTGCAACTCCACGATGCAATGCTAATCTTAACTCATCCCAACCTCATGCTAATGAAATGAGAGTACAAGCATTCAATAAATTAATTTAGGTTGTTAAACACAGAATGCACCCATGCTTTAATGTTAGCATTTAAGCATGTTTCTGGTTAACAACAAAACCTTACACCAATCTGATATTGTCCAATTTTCCTGAGCTTGTGTGAGTTGCAGCCTCAGTTCTCTCCCAGGAGTTAAACAACTTGGGGTCCTTATGTTATTGAACTTTCAGAGATGGTATTCTACATACCTTGGTTGTAAAAAGTGGTTATTTGAGCTAGTCTTGCATTTCTAACATCTAAAATCAGTCTGTTCTTTCTTCTTTGGCATCAACAAGCCATATTGGTTTTTATAGATATTTTATCACTTTTAAGGTCTCTTTAAACCTATATGTAGCAGTAAGTTAAAGAAATGCTTATATAAAAGAGACAATGTATTAGTAATAGATCTTAGATACAAAGATGAGTCACAGTGTGGATAGAAGTTTTGCAGCCTGGCAACAGAAATGCAGACAGGTAGGCATGACTCAGAACTAACCAATGAAGAATCTAATGATTAGATAAAGAAAGTAAATGGTTACTGATTGGGAGGTGTTTCATGAGAACCAGAGGAGACTAATCAGAAAAATGAAATGCAACTGGATGAAGACTGGAACAGAGGACATGTGGAAAATTAAAGATTAACAGGGAAAAAAGACAGAGGAATTTAAATAAAATTCTAGAAATGACCTTTTTGGAAAATGAAAGTGACAGGAATAACAAAAAAAACATGTGGACCTAAAGGTAACCTAAATGTAAACTTTAGTCTATCCAACATTGCTATTTGGAATGTAATAGCAATAGTATAAAGTAGACAGATACCAGTTTTATGGTAAAACTTTTAAATTACTTTTCTTTGGAGGCCCTGATGATTTTCAGTCCCAAGCTAAGCTTCGAAATGGTTCAGGATGGTTCTTACTGGAAGTTTGCATTATTATCATTATTTAATTGAAAAGTTGTCTCCATGTCAGCTTTTAGTCTACTTCAATGATTACAACATGTGAACCCATCCAGATTCAAAGCAAAGCCTAACTTACATCTAGTGTGCCAAAACATTCAACAATCAATGACCCTTCAAGAGGCGATCAAGGTCACAGACTCAGAGAAGAGTATGCAACCTTTCTGGCAGCTCTTATCAGTTAAATTTTGCTGCTTCTTATATAACCAGGGATAAATATACACATCTGAAATAACAGAGCATGAGTTGTACAGTATTGTAATAATAAGAATAGTTTGTTCTGACTCATTCTAATCATGGAATTACCAAAGGTCAAAATAGTACTATAAGGTTTTAAAAGTGATATGAGTCATGCAACATTTAGATTATTTTTAATAATCTAAATGTTTAGTGTAACATTTACCAGTTTAATGTTACATTAAACTGGTAATGTAACCGATATCTCTTGAAAATGAAAAGTAAATTCAATTATAAGGTAACATAAAAGCAGTGCAAAAGTATTAAACCTGTTGACTTTTTTACATTAAACCCAAAAAAGTCATTCTGTTTCTTTGTGATGTTATTCTGTACAGTAAATTACCAAAAAAGTAATGTAGTGCATAGCTTTGAAATGGAAGGAACATTTTCCATGGTTTTCAAGATCTCACAAAAAAGAAATGGGAGAAGTCTGATTTTTATTTGCATTTAACTTTACCAATTCAAAACGTCTGCTTCTCTTTTGCTGCATTTAAAGTTGAAAGTATTTTGTGGTATCTCCATCAGCTTCTCACTTCTGGAGATCAATGTTTTCCCCTTTCTTTTTTGCAAAAGTTCTAATTTTGCCAGATTTGAACTCAAGAGATGCATAGACCTGCCCATCCTAAAACTAACCTTGTGTGCTTATTTACTTTGCTATAACTCCATAAATGAATCTTTGATGTGTCTGCAGTGTTTCTTGGTTCTTAAGAAACCATTTTTCTTTAAAAGCCTGTTGCAGAAGAGCTAGATTTTGTTAACATTGAGTGAGCTACATGTTGACTTTACTTTAGGATTACTTTTATTGATGAATATGTATGATTATGTATATAAATATGCAACCACCTTTTACACTAATTTGGTTTGATTTGAATGTAATTTGTTGATAATGGATTCTATAATAAATATCTGAGCAAAGAAAGTTGAGCATTAAAGCAGTGGGCTTTTTTTAAAATTATTATTATTATGACAAAATGTCAAAATTAAGCATATGCACTATCCTTCCTCTTTACAAAAATACTTAATTTTTTCTTCACCTATCACATAAAATACCCAAAATATGAATACAAGTTTGCTTTTATAACAAAATAATGGCATATTCACGTTTTAAGACGGTTTATTTTAGGTCCTATTTCTGAAACAAATTATTAGGGAACATTCATTAAAAACCTTTCAATTACATCAGTTTGATTAAATGCTTTTGAACCCACCATTAAGTTACACAGAAAACTCAATAACCAAAGGTAGTAGGTGATTATATTTTTGTTGTTTGTTTCTAAATAATAATGAAATTGTAGTAAACATTTAGTCATATTCTTCTGGACTATTTGCACTGACTTTAATATCTGTGTGGGAATCTTTTTTTCCCATTGCTAATCTAATATTTGGCCTCAAATTACTAAAAAGGTAAGTTTGGTAGAGACCATTATATTATCTCCCTTAACTTTAAATATAATACGCGTGATTCATATCATAACAGCGTGAGATTAATTCTGCATTGCGGTGCAATTTGAGGTACTATATATCTCCTTTCACAGGATTTGTATTGTATTGTAAGTTTTATTGATCAACAATTAAGGAAAGATATGTCTGATTTCATGTCTTTTTTTATTCACAGAATTCATTTTTAAGTTTATTATTAATGCTACAACACCTAACTATTGCAGTCCCTGAATGAATCAGACTCCTCATTGCTTGCATGGTCATGTTTCAGAAGAGACCGTTATGAATGCATAGCTGATCAACTTTACCAGCAGCTGAAACTGGATCGTCTCAACAGCTGAATTCAAGGCTGGCAACAGGCGAGACAAGGTGGGGGATTGGAATGTGAGGGGGATGGAGACTCTGGAGCCAATTTCAAATGCAAAATAAATCAAATAATATTATCAAAAATTAAGCAAATTAGGCTTTTCTAAATGTCATTAAATACCTCGTTTATAGTTTAACCATCGTCAGATAAAAATGACCATTGAAAAAATGGTTCCAATTTAATGTTCTATAAACCTTGCTATTATATCAAATGGATAGAATAACTCAGTTTTGAGGGGGGTTATGTGGTGGGAAAGAGGTACCAAGTAAACGGAGATAGAGGGAGGACATAGAGGAGGGGCTGGTGGCAGGAGTGGGTGTGGCTGGTCTACAAATAGCTGCTCACAGTCCCTGCAGATTCTTCACCAAGTTTTTCTTCCAGTTGCCTGGTGGGACGGTTGGGTCTCAGCTTCTGAAACAGCTTCCTTAAACCAACAAGCCAACCAAGCTGTAAAGCAACCATGAGCAAGTCCTACGCCTCCTCAGCCCAGAGCGCCTCATCCTACCGCCGAACCTTTGGTTCTGGTGTTGGTTCATCACCAATGTCATCCCTCTATTCCTCAGGAGGAGGTCGAAGCTCTGCTTCCAGTCATATGTCTTCCAGAGTCTATGAGGTCAAGAGTACCGCTGTCCCCTCCTTCTCCAGCTTCAGAGCCGGGGGAGCAGGATTCGGTTCCTCTACAGCCATGCGTACCTACAGTGGTGAGAAGCTCGACTTCAACCTAGCAGATGCCATGAACCAAGACTTCCTCAACACAAGGACCAATGAGAAGGCCGAACTTCAGCACCTCAATGACCGCTTTGCCAGCTACATCGAGAAGGTACGATTCCTGGAGCAGCAGAATGCTGCATTGACCATGGAGATTGAGAAGCTGAGGGTTCGAGAGGGGCCTGGCCGTGTGGCTGAGCTGTACGAGGAGGAAATGAGGGAGCTGAGGAGGCAGATTGAGGCCCTCACCAACCAACGTGCCAGGGTGGAAGTAGAGAGGGACAACCTAGCAGATGATCTGCAGAAACTAAAGCTCAGGTAGGATGTCATCATGGTGTGTTAGTATGTGGGTGAATGCATTATGAGTTTTTTGGCTCACAAAAATCATGTAATGTAGGCAAGTGGGGGCCAAAAACAATAACCCAAGGTGATACACCAAATTGGAAGGCTAGAGCAGTTTTTCAGGAAATGTATACAGTATGGGTTAGAAGAGGCAGAGCCTAGAATTAAGGTATACTTACAAAAAGGGCGACCCTTTGATAATTCCGAACATATTTTTTAGTGACCTTAAAATTTTGTATCCTTGATTTGAAAAACTGAAACTGTCCATGTTTTCTTTTGGGCGGGGCTAGGAGGTAGTGACAGACATTTAAAAGGTGGCATTATTAAGAAAGCTGGATGATCTATTTAGAAATAAACAGATTAACAATTCTGATAAACATTCTGCCTGCTATGGTGATGCCACTGTTAGGGACCAAAGAAGCACAAGGTCAACCGTAATATTTGGATGTTGTCAGCTTGATCACCACACCTGCCAAGCATTCTTTTACGAGGCAAACTCCAACCTCTGTCCAGTAAAGTCAAGATATTCTTAAAAAAATGTGGGTAGAAAGTATTTTGTAAAAAAAAAAAGCAAATTATTTCTGTCCTTTAGAGACAGAAATAATGTTTCTGGCCTACACATCAGGTAGGCCAGAAACATTTTGAGAGGCACGCTTCATGGAATGTTACTCTTCTCCACCTTGCTATAATTACATAAATATATTTCCAAGAATCACCACAAAGGGAAATGGAGATAGAGACAGACTTGCAGACTCATAGGAATAAACAGTCGGAAGATAAAGTTTCAGCCAGACTGCGAGCTTTCAGACCAAGATCTCTTCTCGATTAAAGCAAAATATCTTCTACCATTTAATTCAGCATTTCATTGTGAAATATGCTTGTGAGGCTAAATCTGTCTGTTCATAGCCTCTATGTCAGGTTGTGTTTCTGTGAAAATTCCATCATGTCACCAAATGCATCATAGCTCACAGTAAAGTGTGTGATCAAAAGTCACCCAACATGCACACGGTGCACTCAGCTCCCTCTTCAGACAACCCACCCCCACGCCCAACACACACACACACACACACACACACACACACACACCTGTTGTGTGACACTATCCTTGTGGGTTGTTTCCATTGACTTCCATTCATTTCCCAATCACCTCTACAGCCTAACCCAGACCCTACACCTAACCATTACCAACACATGTGTAACCCTAAACCTAATCTAAACTCAATTAACACCTTAGGACTTAACCTAACCCCCTCCCTAAGAAGAGAACGATTGCTCACTTGAACCAACCAATATAAGTCCCCAAAATGTAGCATATTCCTGGCCAATCGTCCCCACAAGGTAGCAAAAACATGGCTGCACGCACACACACAGTGCAGACACAGTCTTCAGCTCTTCATATTCTGTTTATCAGCCCTCTTTGAGCAGGTGCCCAAAGCTGTGAGTGAGTCCAGAAAAAGCACTTGATGCACCCGCTGAGATCAAAATACACATAAACCTCTGGCTTGCTTACAGCTACAAGATGAGAAACTAACATTCAGCTATTTCATCACAACATTTTCATGTTTTAATTCCCCAAATATGAACATTTAACCAGACATTCTAAATCCCACATATCTGTAACTGTGCTTAAATATATATTTTAAACAGATTTCCTTCTTGTTAGAAGTGCTTTGTGAAATGCTAAATGTAGAAACAGAAGGAGCCAGGGCAGGGCTCTATAGAGTTCTTCTTTTTACCCCGCAGTCTCTAACAGTTTGAGAGCAGCTGCATCAAAGCCGTAGGGCTAATGGAGCAGCTGCAGAGGTTAGATTTAAAAAAAAAAAAAAAAAAAAAGAAACCAGCATTTGTCTATTAAGCTTTATAAACAAATAAACCAGAAGCCAGATAATAAGGAAAATGCATGAAGATTTTGCCTTTTAACTTTCTTCTGTCACCTTTTCCCCCTTTGGACCATATCTCTCTCGTAGACTTCAAGAAGAGATTCACCAGAAGGAAGAGGCTGAGAACAACCTGTCTGCATTTAGAGCTGTATGTGTTAAATTTTTTTTAATGCTTTTTTAAGTTTAATTTGCCAATAGAAATGTAACCTTTTGTCCGAATTGTGCTGTAATACAGATTCTTTGTCATCTACATGGTCTGAATGTATTTTCTTGCTCTATTGTTGTATGCAGGATGTTGACAGTGCAACTCTGGCCAGGCTGGACCTGGAGAGACGCATAGAGAGCTTGCAGGAGGAGATTGCCTTCCTCAAGAAAATCCATGAGGAGGTTTGTTACTCTTATAAGGGATTTCAGCATATCTACATAGTTCTGTCTCTAAGATGGCTTGTACTTAACCATTTTGCACCTTCGCAAGCCAGATTCTACAACGTAAAATCAGTTTAGAGTCTGTCAGAATGCATCTCTCTAAGCAATCAAAGACTTCACACATAAACGCTTCCTATGATGTTAAATCACACGCATTAAGACACACACTCTGACTCAAGAAAAAACGTACAGAACCAAAAGATATTTTCGCACATTGCCTTGCAGAGAGGCTGGGTGAGCCACAAGCTCAGATTCAGAGCGCAGCAGAGGGGCCTTCTCATCATTTTTTGTCTTCTTTGTCTCAACTTTGACCTCCTAGAAATGCTGAAGTGCCAACTGGTTTAAAAGAGCATGGCAGCTGTTGTGGGACACAGCTACAGTGTGTGTGCTTGTATGCGTGACAACAGATGCATTGCTATTTAAAACCTTTGATCGGACCAGACAGTCATCTGAGCAAAACCAAAGCTGGCAAGTTAAAAACATATCTAAAAGGAAAGAATTACAGTTGTTTTAAGGATTTTCCCTTTGCTAAGTCTTCCTTACAGAAATGAAAACAACTCAGTCATTCAGAAGGTTTTTTAATACAAATACAAGGTTAAAAGGTGGAACTCTATTAAATTAAATGATTGATTTTGATAGATCTGTTTCAGATCTTTTCCAAACCATTTAAAGGGTTGAATATAGTGTTAATGAAAATTTACTTTAAAAGATGTGTAATTAGATGCTTTTAACATCAAGAAAAAGATCTTTGAAACTCAGTCTTTTATATGTAGACAGTTTTTTTTATGCCATTCACTTCTTTATACAGAATTTTTATTACATAATTAGCAACTAAAGGTTTTTGGCAGATATATGTTTTTGGGTAAAGTACTAAGTTTTGTAAGATGCAGATATTTTTTTATTAAAAAAAGAGCTTTTCGCATTACAAGGTTAAAATGTCAGCACACTGTACATTTCAAAAACATGTCTAAGCATTCCTTTTCTTTTTATTATTTATCAAGTAAATTTTTTTCTCTTTAAACTGTAAAATAAAAAAATTGGAAGAAAATGTGAAAAAATTACAAAATGATTAAAACAATAGCGACAACATATAACTAATGAAAGCTTGTTTATCAGTTGTATATCATTAGTCTACCAAGTTTATTTTATGACTTATTTAAGCATTTGTTCTTTGTGTGTGGGGGGCCCTGTGTGTCATGTTGGTTTGTAGTTTTTTGACCCACATGCACAATCCCATAGAGAACCAGTGAGTTTTAACATTTTAGTTTAGAAAAAGTAACAATAATCTTTTAGAGGAAAACTACAGGAAGTCAGTTTAACTGTCTGGTTGGTCTGAGGGGAAAAAGGTAAAGATCAGGAAGAAGTTGTTTGATGACAACTGATGACTGATGGATTTGCTTACTTGAGAGATGAAGGGGAGGTAACATGGATCTGTAGGGGTTTAATTCAGTGGGCTTTGCAGACTTTACCCCAGAGATCCAGGAGAATGTAGTGAGATCCAAGAGTGTTGGTACTTGCAAGAAACATCATGCTAGGGAGCGGGCAGACAGGTGATGAAGACTGAGAACTACTGCACACAGGTTAGACCTTTTTCTTTGAAGAGTGGCGTCAAACTGTGGATCACTGGTTGCCTGGAGCTATAACGGACTCCACATTAAAAAAGATTCACAAGAAGACAAATTTTAACAAGAGGGAAATTCCGGGTTTAGGTCTTTGTCTGGAATATCAGGGGTAATCATCCGACGAACCAAGATGAGCCTTCACCTCCTGATATACATGCTTGTTATCTTGATTGAAAAATGTTCTCAGGTGTGCAGGAACACAGGTCGGCCCAGCCACCACCAAAGATCCTTGCTTTAATGAGAAGCTCACTCACACCAGAAAACAGCAAAACCCCCAGACCCTGTGTTTTTTTTTAAAAACATTCAAAGCATAGCCTTTTCTGAACATTGCTTCTTTAATAAGAAATTGAAAAGTTAAACTGGAGTTCATTTCCAGTTTATAATCTATAAATCTTTTTTTTTTTTTTTGTTATATTACCAACTAACCTTTTATTCATTATTTATGCTTAAAATACACCTCTTCTTTCCATGGACCCCTTACAGGAGATCAGAGAGCTGCAGAACCAGATGCAGGACACTCAGGTCCAGGTCCAGATGGACATGTCCAAGCCTGACCTGACTGCTGCCCTCAGGGACATCCGCATGCAGTACGAAGCCATCGCTGCAAAGAACATTGCAGAGGCTGAAGAATGGTACAAGTCTAAGGTAGATTAGAAGCACTATGTTAGTAAAAGATAGTTTTCACTGTTTCTGAAATGTTTAAAAACTTGCCCGGTGTTTTCTCAAGGTGTCTGATCTGAACCAAGCTGTGAACAAGAACAACGATGCTCTGCGCCAGGCCAAGCAGGAAACCATGGAATACCGTCACCAGATCCAGTCCTACACCTGTGAAATTGACTCTCTTAAGGGCACCGTCAGTATTTAGCTAACTCAATATGTTTTAGTTATGCGATACAGCTTGAATTACATCTCTCTATCTGCTTTGATTCTGGAATAAACTTGTCATTGTCTTGTTTTCTTTCAGAACGAGTCTCTGCTGCGCCAGATGAGGGAAATGGAGGATCGGATGGGCCGAGAAGCCTCCGGTTTCCAGGATACCATTTCAAAGCTGGAGGCAGACATTGCCAAGATGAAGGTAATACGTTTTAATATCTCTGACACATTGAATGCAACAGCAGATTGATGAAAGCAGCCAATATCAGATGTGGCCTTTTGGAAACAACCAAACCTGTTGCATCTGATAATCTCAGTGTTTTCATCCGAATGTTTTAGTTTCTAGAAATTTTTTGGGGGAATCAAAAAGGCCTTTAATTAAATACTTTCAATGCTTTTGACCTTAAGGATGATATGGCTCGCCACCTGAGGGAGTACCAGGATCTCCTCAATGTGAAGATGGCCCTTGACATTGAAATTGCCACCTATCGCAAGTTGCTGGAGGGAGAGGAGAGCAGGTCTGTTTCGTTTTTTATTTTTTGCTTTAAAAGTTAAACATCTTCAAGGGCAATATCTACCTCATAAGACTTTTTACCATTCATTCTCCTTATTCTATGTGTCTTTACTTACAGGATCACCACCACCATGCCTGTCCAGTCTGCCTATTCCTCCATTGGATTCAGAGGTAGCTGAATTAGAAACATGTTCTTTCATTAACTCGTAAATTTTACGTTCCAAGTGGGGTCAAAAAGAAAGATCAAAGCATCTAATTATACTCTGTGACTAAATATGGTAGATGTTATTTTGAGGTTATGACATATTGTGCAGTTACACATTGTGACCACAGTGTGGGGATGTTGAAGAGCACAAAAAATCCAACAAAACCTTAATGGTCATTGGTTTCACATAAAGAAAGCCAAACTAATAAAATCACATACCTCTTTCTCCTCCTTTTATGTGTTAACCGTTAACTGTTTTGTGTACTTGATGTATATCAAAATATGCAAGACTTCCAAAAGTTTCATAAATCAACTTTTTAAGCTATATTATAACATCATGTGATATGAATACAATATGCCCAAAAAATATGTATCTCAGATTTTATATCTAAGTACAATAATTAATCATTATTGTCATATTTTAGATAAAAATGTTGTAATAGTAAAATTAAAACACATACACTGAGGGAGTTTTATCGTGTATCTATAATTTTTTGACTCAACAAGCATCTTTTTTCTAATCTAGACAGCATCCACAATCTGTAATACACTGAAACTAATGTTTAAGCTTACTAAAGTGGTGAATGTATTCTTACAGAGACCAGTCCTGAGTCCCAGCGAGGATCTGAGGTTCACTCCAAGAAAACTGTTGTCATCAAGACGATTGAGACCCGTGATGGAGAGGTTTGACTTTACATGCATCTGCACAACCACAGCAATGACAAATTAGTCCGTCCAAGCTAACATGAGTTTCTCATGCAAACACAGGCTCAATCCCTCTTCCTAGTCCCCATCCTTCCTATACCTTTTAAATCAGTTCATGTTCTTCATGACTCCTGATAGCTAAATTTAAATGTAAATAGTTACACAAACAGGTTTTTTGGCCTCTTTATTTAGAAAAACAGAAACTTAATACAGAGTATTCCCAAATTAACATTGTAATTTTTGGTTTTAATAATTGTATTTTGAGAAATATATAAACTTTATTTTTTTATTATATATGTTAGTGATATTTAATTGTATACAAATATACAAAATAGCAGGAAGGCTCATTATAGAGGTTGCAGCTCTTACTGTACCATCTAGAATGTGCAAATTGAGCAAGTAGAAATCCCTAAATGTTCTCAAAGATCAAAGTAACTTCCCTGCTCCCTACTCCTGTTCCACAATAATGATGCAAAAACCCTTAAAAGTACATATTTAGACTCTAATAATAAAGTGCCACAAGTCAATGCTGATTTAGTAATAACTGTCATGATAAATTTGTTGAAAACAACTGTAAGTGGGAATGCTTCTGTTATGACAGATCATTTCAAATATATTATGTTCTTAGATGAAATATTCCATGAGTTTTATTGATCCACCTACCTTCTATTTGCCGCTCACTTCCTTTTATAGCTTTTCTTCAGTATCTCTGCACATATGCATGTCAATCACACTAAAAGGAAATATGGAAGTCTCCTGTTTCTCACTTTTACATGTAGTTTGTAGACGCTTAACTAGAGCTGCTGCACTCTGTCATAGTGTAAACATACGAAGGGTGACTTCACAAACCTGCACAGCACTTCAATCCAAGCCATAACCTCTGCAGTTTGGAATTATTTACTCGATCCTTTGTCTGTGTTATGTTTTGCTTATTCCCTTGAGTGCCTTTACCATCACTAATGACATTTCTTCTTTCGCCTTAGGTCGTCAGCGAGTCAACACAGCATCAGCAGGACATCATGTAAAGAGGCAACATGAAATGAGAAATAAAAATGAACAAATATCTAAGTCGTTTCCTACATTACAATTAGAAGAGATGAGCTGAGCCAATGTTTATAAACATGAAGAGTATGATTATAATAACAATCTTCACTAACATCATGGCATAGAAGCTGGCATGGTGGCCTTAGTCTGGTTTTAAAGGAAGGGCATTCCAGGATTTGAAACTTTTTTTAGCATCACTTTCTTCTTCAGAAGAGCATCAATGTAAACAGAATGTTGTTGTTTAGCACCAAGGATGGACATTATTGAGGCTCAAGACAGATCAATGAGTCAGTAACAGTGTGGTTAAATGTCAAACTGAAAGGTATCCAGAAGTTTATTTGTGCACAAGTACAAGCATATGGTAAATTAGTTACTTTTTTTGTTACTAATTTAAGGGATGTGTCAGATTTGATTGAAGTAATCTAAAAAAAAAAAGGAAGAAAAAAAACAATGAACTAGGAGGAGACTCAGTCATGTCTAAAGTTTGAACTTAGAAGGATGTGCTTAGTGTTTGTGTATGAGAGGATAACAGCGATATGATGCTTCACTTTAAATAAACCTCACTGAAGATGAGCATAACTATGTGTTTTTATTATTATTATTTTTTAAGTGTAATAGGAATATTATTTGATGTTTGTATTTTACCTTTATTTTCGAGATTGCACACAAACATGGCAGTGTCGGCATCATGTTGTGAGATTTTATTTCTCTTCACCATTGGCAGAAAACTAGACAAAGTTGGAGGGAGGATTGATAGAAAATACAAGAAATTAAAACTTTTTAGATCGTGAAAAAACAACCAAACTTAAGACTGGGCTACCCAGTAAAATAAAGTCCCAATAAAGTAAATTAAATATGTAATGGTGTGTTCTAGTAATATAACATCTGAAAAAGACAATATGAATACCTTTACGAGGCACCAAAAGTATTTATACTGTTTATTAGCCTATTTTTACTCCCATTTCAGCAGTAATACAGGCATTATCAGCTAGGCATAGGGCTGTTACAGGATATCGATGTTCTATTTACTTTATTTAAGGAGGTGAAGCCCTGCTAATCTATTAGTGTGAGAAATGTGAGCAACAGCTAGTTAATGGGTTGTCCCTGGTCACTTTGTTTCCAGCAAAAAAGCAGATTAGAAAGCAACAGGAGAGTTTGTATAATTTGTCTCTGAAACCATGAGAGCAAAATGTCAGTAGAGGTAGAAAAAAGGCTGGGGTTGTGCGTGTAGAAGACAGAAAATAAACACAATAAATGAGCACAAGGTGATGTAAGCTGAAAACAAGGGAAATGGAAAAGGTGAGCTGAATAAAAAGGTTTTCCAGGCAGAAATAAAACACAAGAGGTTGAATTAGAGATTAAATAACACAGCACGTTACCAATGAGCTCAAAAAAAAAAAATGTGATGAGTGCTGCATTAATTAGTCTGAGCTTTGTTAGCTAGAACGTTGAGACGTTATCTTTTACTTCTTATGTCAAAAATATCCTGCTCATTATATAGTAGGTCAACAGCAAAGGGCAGGACATTTCAAAAATGAAGTTAACTTACTTTATGATCTCTTCTTAAACATTGCTTCTAGTTTTCAGTGCTTTAAGCCATTAAGGTCATAAGAGACACAATATGAACTGGTGGAAAACTGCACAAAAATAAAAGCAAAATATGTAATTCAAAGTTTAATATTCAGGCAATCAAAGCCAGATAAACAGACAATAAAATATCATCATTCTCAAAGGGCTATGGCCTTTTTGAGGAAAGAACGTTGGGGTGTTTGCTCAAATCAAAGCATAAAATGACAAGACTGGTTTTCTTTTGGATAAATGTTTTATACTCCAATGTCATGGCATTAAAAATAAACAACTTCTATGCACTACGTTTTATTAAAATAAATATGTAAAAGGACCAAAGTCTGTCAAACCAATCCCAATCAGTTCATATTTGGATAATATACATAAATAATAATTTAAAAATAATTCAAATTTTTTTACTTTACCCAACATTCTTAATTTGCTGATAAGTAACATTACTTAGTCCAAAATGGCAAAAACAGTGTAAAAAATGTTGTTTTTATTTAGCATATTTTCCAGTGGTAGGGATCGAATACCTAAGAAACTGATACTATGTATCTACCACAAATTACAGTATGCAGTTGAAGTTTAAATTGGGAAATAAAATCAGCTGGTAATTGAGTAAAATAAATGGCATATTTGCCTGTTGATCTGAAACAAGACCCTGGACTGAATTTTTAAATAAAGGGTAAGTTAAATTCTGATTGTTTGAATAAAAAAATGCAGTTATTCCTGCTTAAAATTAGATTTTTGTTCTGGATTTATCTTTCTCACTCAAATGAAAGAAAGCTGTTACAGTGCACTTACTGTTTTCATTAATATATTTTTACACACATATATATA